TTTTTTCTAAAAAAAAAATTGAACATAAGATGCAAAAACCGAGCCTTCCACATGCCTGAAAGACCAAATAAACCCTCCAATATCTCATGCTAGATAAGAATGAATGAAAAGCTTCATGATACATATTCTAACATGCTTGCAAGAGGAGCTAACATCATCTCAAAGCCACATTATAATATTTCCAATTTGCCTTGAACAAAAAGAAAAGAGAGGAGCTAATAACATGCTATACTTTCACCACCTTAAGCAAGTAATAAAATCTGACTCCTAGAACATGCTCACATTTCTATTTTTCACATGCTGAAGTGACAAATATTTCAAAATATAGGTGCAACACTAGGCTAGCATGCTGTACTATTCAACAGAACTATCCTAAATGGCTCAGTAGAGAGAAAACCGAAAAAAGAGGCAAGGCACGAGGGAAGAAGGTACCTCCTTGAAGCAAAAAAAAACAACACAGAAACTTTAAAGGCACTCCCCAACTTCAACTCTTCCTCCAATAGTAAGATGAAGCCAACCCGAGCACAGAAAGCTAAAGAAGTAAGTGAGAAAACAAAATGACAGAGTTTTCCCTCCCTCAGAGATTTTCGGCCCTTTGAAACAAACCAAAACCAAACGGAAGCCTCATATAGACCAGAAAAGGAGAAGAAATGATTAAGAGATCGCATATGACTCGAGAGATCGAGAGAGACAGAGGATTAGATTCTAGCAGAGGATACGATCTGCGGTAGAGAAGATCGAACTCAGAACACAGAATATAGGATACAAGGGATGGGCGTTTGCGAGACTTGTCTCGCGCGCGAGAGGCGAACGCGGGAATGAATCTCTCCATCGGCACAAAGGATCGGGCCAGGCAACTGAACGAGCCAATCTAGGGCTGAGGCAGGCCCACGGGTTCGAGAAAATGAGGCGAGGAGGGAGGAGATAGATTTAGGTTATAAATAATAATAATAATAATAATAATAATAATAATAATAATAATAATAATAATAATAATAATAATAATAATAATAATAATAATAATAATAATAATAATAATAATAATAATAATAATAATAATAATAATAATAATAATAATAATAATAATAATAATAATAATAATATCAAAAACGCGGCTCGAGCTCAATCAGACAGGACGGCGGAGAGCACGACGGCGTCAGATCAACGCGTCCAGTCAATCCTAAGGCCAACAATCCTATAATGATTCTCCTTGAGCTTCCTCACAGTAGCCTCACCTACTAGGTGCTAAAGGTCAAAACTACTATGCGGAACTTCAAGTCGAGCGAAGAAAAATTCGAAATTTCTAACGAGGAGGGCTCCTTTGCTAGTTTTCTAGTAGTAGTTGACAGGAAAATCTTACGGCTAGATTCTAGGCTATTTAAAGAGGAGAGACTAAACCCCAACCAAAAGTGAGGTCAACAAGCTTGCTATAGATTTTGTCTCAGAGTTGATTCCTCCTTATTTATTTATCAGAAACACCTGGACAAGTACGGAGAGTGGAAGAAGCCAAGTATAGATTTGATGGCGCGAGGCTTTAGTATATGAGAATACTCATTCCACGTATAGCACCAGCTCTGGTTGTCCCAGCAAAGGACGGACACCTGTTCTACCAAAATGTGTTTTGGAATGACAACACGTACTCGATCAATCTACAAGGGGATTACAATATCTCTGCTACTTTCAACTTGACAGATTTGACTCCGTGTTATGAGAAGCCAGAAGCTTCACGAATGAAGTCGAAGCTCCCCCAATCCCGCGTGATTGAAGCAGGATTCCCACACGATTTTCACGGGATACTGTAGCTACTATAGCACTGCCAGAAAGCACATAGCAGGAGATGGGATTCGAGCAGCCGAAACGGTCCCCTTTTATTTTCTTATTCTCTTTCCTATTATCTTTCTTTCCTTTTTTAGTCATTCCTTACATGTGTGTGCATTAGGGTTTGGATTAGTAGTTTTTGGTGAGTTTTATTTTAGATTTATGTCTGGACAGCCGTTGCCTTCCGTTTTCTTATTCGAGGGTTGTATCCGAGGGATTGGGTGGTGCTCTGACTGTATTTCTCTCCTGAGATGGTGATTATCTTCCTCCTATCCCTTCCCACATTCTTTCCATCGCTCTTGGCTGCTGTATATCGCTGCAGCTGGCCAGAACAACCCTTCGTTTGTTGTTTTCTGCCACCCAACTTCCCAGTCGCCTCCCACTTCCTTCTAGCTTTGCTGCCTCCCAAACCACACCTATTCCTTGCTGTCCCAGTCTTCCCACGGCGTTGCTGCTGCTCAAAACAGCCTGAGAACACCCATCCGCCCGCACTCCTCGCTGCCATCACCTAGGACAACCTTCATACATGCTGTCACTGCATTTCTTCACTTCACCAGCACGAGCACCAACATTCATTTGCTACCACCACACTCGCTAACCATCTTGATCCACTTAGCCAGCCTCCAACATCCTAGGATGCGCTTTAGGGCATTTGCTTGTGTCTTTTTATATTTTTTATCATTTATTTCCTGTTTGAAGAGCCGTCATTATAACCCTATTTGAATTCAATAATAATATTTTTCTATCATGATTTAGGTTAACTCCGTTATCAAAAAGTCTACCAAAACTAGTTCCTCCAAGAAATTTTGTGCTTTGTTTGATAACAGGATTTTTATGGTTTTAGTTCCTTTTGTGTTTTTTTTAATTATTATTTTAACTTTTCTTATTATTTTTGGTTGGATTTTTTGATTGTGTGCATTTCCATAAGTGTAGACTTCCGAAAACCTTTTAGCATAAAAATTTGTCATTGATTTTTTGAAGAATTTTTATTTTTTAGATTTCCTTGATGCTGAAATTGCAATTTCCATGATTTTTCTAGAAAAAATAGTCATTTATGTGGAAATAAAATTTAGAATAATAATTTATGGAATCGTCATATTTGGTGATTATGAACTCCGAGAATTCAATGTAACTTGTATATTCATCAAAGTTGGTCAAGACTCAAAAGTTATTTTGCGTGCTTCCCTTGATGTGTAGGTTTTTCTCTTGGTTTTTTGAATTGTTTTCTTTCTTGAAAATTTTTTTTGTTGACTAGAAATTTTTATGATGCATTATGACTGTTGAAAATTCTTTAGAGGGGGCAATGAATGATTTTTGTTTTTTTTTGCTGATATTGGTGTTGTTGGAAAATTTGCTTACCAGTACAAAAATGACTCTTCTCTGATTGATATGTTTTTGTAATTTATAATTTATCATGAGATGTTTTTACAATTTAAACAGTATGCAGTCACGGCGTTAAACAAATTGGAAGATAGCATTCAAGAGCGTTGGACCATGAAGAAGAATGAGAACTGTAACATTAGTATGCTTCTCTACCAAGTCTTATTTTCAGCGTGTGCACTCTCTTCCTTATTTTCTCTCCACTGCTCATGTCACCCTCTTCTGAGTGTTTTTACTCGATTATTAAGTCTATTCTGGTAGTGATTTTTAATGTTTCTTTTATCCATAGCTACTTGGCATCTAATGGATTGTTTTGGAATTTGAAGGGCAGTTTGCTCTTCATCCTTTTGCGTCTTAATGTGCTCCAGATTTTATTAAGGGTGATCTATCAAATAAAAATTTGGCTTATTATTTGTTGACACTCATTAAACTGTTTCATTTAGAGTAAATGTTTCTTTTCTTAATGGCATATAAGTTTTTGGAGAATACTGATCCCTCTATTAATCAAACTATATTTAATCGAAGGAAGTGGCAGTTATCGGATCAATGTTTCTTTGTTTATTTTTTTTGAGAAACCTTGCAGTACTTCCAAATCTCTTTTGAAAGGACCAGTGTACTTGGTAATTGGGAGGAGAAATATTCAGTTGTTGATGTCAACTCAAGTTGTTCTCACTATTTGTGGTTGGCTGCTATAAACTATTTCGTCACTGAATTTCTTACATTTCAAGCTTGTTGTTCAGATAATGACAAAAATGTTGATGCCTTTAGCAGTGCAATTTATAGTCATCTGTAAAAACATTTCGGCCAATGTTAAATGTTAGCCGTAAAGATGAGAATTAAACAGAGGTACATAGAAGGACGATAAATGCCACATATAAAGTCCTGTGGTGATTTCTTCTATCTTTGCATCTTCTGATGCAACATAGGGTTAGATTTATTTTCATTCATATTTTGAAATTTTGTAAAATTATCCTTTTGAAAAACAATATGGATTTTTTTGATAAAAAGGGTTGACTTTAGCCTAGACTTTCTTGTCATTCCTATTTCTATAAATATGGTAATTCTGCTTGTGATAAATCATTGATTTATTGAATTATAATTATGACTTGAAGCATAACTACCTTTCATTCTATGCTCTTGTTTCTCCCATTTGATGTTCTGCTCTTAACCTCAGGTCCCAACTGTCAGTGCTTATTCCCCTTCCCTCTTCAATCATTGCTACTCATTATCAATTGCTGTTTTGAGCCAAATGCCGGCATCTTGTTTTGCTTAGTCACTTGCATCGGTTGTTGAATTATTTCCTCACCCCAGTTCCCTGATTATAGAAACTCTTATTCCTTACTTGTTATATTGATTGCAGCACCTTGCTCTAATTGATATTCAAGTGGGCCATTATCTACATTGTCCTTGAACAGCACCACACCTTTCCTAGTCGCATGGATTTAGAGTTCCGTTTATAGAGATTTTCGGGCGTATATAGATATCTGCCTTGAGTTCTGTTGATTTTTTATAGTATTTATATTGTCATTCTTTTACTGCAATTATGAGTTTGGATGGTTTCCCTTTCATCCTTTCAACACTGTATGTATTTCCATTCATCTCTCTACATCGTGCTAAATTTCCTATTAGACTTTTCCTTTCAGGATAAATATTGTCAGGATGATAAATTCATTGGTAACTCTTAATTTTTCCTCCGAAAGCATTCCAACTCATTGGGAGGAGTTTTCTCGACCTCGGGAAATTGATGCAGCTTAGGTTAAATTTATTTTCATTAGTAGTTTTTATTTATTTAAAATTATCTCTTTGGATAATTAGTAGGGTAGTTTTGTTAATATAGATAAATTATTTAAAATTATATTATTTTCATGATCCCTATTTCAATAAATTGGATAATTTTGCTTTTAGTAAATGATAAATTATTGAATAAAATCTATGGTTTAATTTCTCAACTATTTTTCTACTGAGTTCTTATTTCTCGCTCTTGCTCTTCTTCAGTTGTTTTAATGATTTTTTTATTTGTTGGTTGGGGCTGAACCGGCCCCCTTTCCCTATTTTCATTAGGCGAGAATTATTCCCTGTCTTCCTGTTTTCGTTTCCCGTTTATCCATCTTCTATTTATATGTTATTTCTCTGTTTAGGGCTATGTTCTGTGACATAGATTTCAAATTTCTGTCAATGATAGTCGTCGGCGTATTGTTTTCCCTTTCAAGGGTTGTATCGAATGGATTGGGTGGTGCTCCGGCTGTATCTCTTTCCCGAGGTGGTGATTATCTTCCCCAAATTCCCCTCTCTGGCCTGCCACCACCCCATCAGCATCCCCATCATCCTTTCTCTCCCCCACTGTCCCCTCTCAGCCGCTCAACCTGCCCCACAACTTTGTGCCGCATAACCTGCAGTCGCAGATCACGCCAGCTCCCTGCAGGTTACTGTAACCGTGCCTTCTGCAGGCTGCTCCTAAATCCCTCCCACTAACCCTCCTTCCCGCCCCCCCCCCCCCCGGGGTTATCACCACCTCACCCGATCACCCACCACCCTCCTTCCGTCGTCCTATTTGAACCTACAGCACCACCACTTTCGAATACATTTAATCATGTTTGTTTGTGTGTTATTGTATTTTTTTTTTCTGCTTGTGTCATGTTGTAACCCTAATTCAGTGCTTAATATTGTTTGTTTCTTTTTTGCTGATTTTTGAACTAGTTCCGGTATTATCGATACTTGCATTGCTCATTTCTGTTTTCTCGTCCTGTGGCTACTCTATCAGCTTCCTTTTGAAATTAGTCATAATTAAGTACAGTATTATTTGTTTTATTAATTTTTTTATTAGCTGTCTCATTTAGAAAGAAAGCTGTTATAGTTCTAGGTATAGCTACAGAAGTAATTTTTTTATTCTTATTTTATTTTGGGAGATTTACATACATACCACAGAATCCCTATGTGTTTACATATGTAACACGAACTTTAATATTTACTTGTATAACACTTTATTGTGATAAGCGCTTCAAAATATGGCATGAAAATATTGATATCATTTTAAAAAAGTTAAGCTGGTTAGTATTTTCTAGGTTATATTAAAGATTTGGGTTTTATACAAGTTAATATCAAAATTTAGGTTTTCAATATGTCAATTCATAAGAACTGTGTGGTATTTTTGTAAAGTCCCCTTGACTTTTTAATTTATTTCTTTTTTGTCAATTGTTGAAGAGACGCCTTGACATTTTTTGCTGGATTTCTATAGCGCGTCTACTCTCACATTTAAACTTGTCAATTTTGAATTCAGAACGCTCCATCAGTGACAACTCAGGAAGCTTTGCATACCAAAAGAATGCATTTGATGGGTGTAGAAAAGATATGAATGCTGCAATTGATAGAATTTGCGAGTTTACTGGTAAGACATCACATGTTCAGAACAATTTTAATAAATTCATTTTGAAATGGTCTTCCCATGAAAATGGGAAGACATTTAGCTCTTTTGTTTTTATTGGATTATTTTAAATTTTAAATACATGCCACTGAACATTTTTCTTACTACTATTTGACACCCAAACCTTCATATTTACGCTGATACTGCCCAAATTTTCTCCTTCCTACAAATTTTTCACTTCATTAACCTCTACCATATGCGGTTTAATCTTACTGCTGGACGTGGCAACATCTAACCATTCGCTAATCATAATAAAAGATACATGAAATTTAGAAGTTAATCCCTTTCTAGCTCATAAGTAAGGCGATGGTCAAAATGATGTGGCATTGGCCTAATGTTTATGGTGCTAAGGTTTTTGAGTGTATATAAGGGGAAGAAAATGGCTAAACATTCAAAATCTTGGAAAAAATTTGCTGTGACACTATCTTTGTAAGAAGAATTTGCAGTAGTCAAATAGATGGATGATATGAAATAAATATGGAAGGGGAAGAAAATGACTGAACATTCAAAATTTTGGAAAGAATTTACTGTGACACTATTTTTGTAAGAAGAATTTGCAGTAGTCAAATAGATGGATGATTTGAAATAAATATGGATATTTGGTGCCATTTATAAAATCAAATGATTTCAATGACTACCTCTGATATCATTCGCTCTTAGGTTGTTGTAGGATGGGTAACGGGAGTGCGGGGAAGGATGCTGATTGAATTCCGGTCTGAATGATGACAGGAAAGCCGTCCAAAACACTGGAAATAGCAGTTTTCTGCTGCTAGTTTGCTCCTTTCTGCTGTTGAACAGTAGTAGCAGCGAGGAAGGATAGTTGCCCGGCTGAAAGCAGAGTGGATAGACAGTGTTTGGAAAGTTATCGGGGGCGAGGTCTGCTATTGGACAGCATAAAACGGCGGGTTTAACGGGCGAGAGAAGAGCGGCGAGAATATTCCACTACCTATTCTTGGTCAAGCTACCACTTGCTAAATAAAAAATGCTACAACACTCTAAAAAGCAGAAATCAGTCCAAAATACATAAACTCGGAAAATGGAAATTCAAAACAGTCTGATACAATAGTTATATAAGTCTCCTAATATGAAATTCCTAATTAGAAAATAAGAGACCAGGAAAGACAAAAAAAGGAAAAAAGTTCTGCTGGAATTGATCCCAAATTGCATCATCTGCAGGATGACTGTCGTGATCACGGATGATCCATAATCTTGTAGTTCCGCAATTTTGCAGGTTGATAAACAAACGCTCCATGTTATTCTCTTAGGCTAGGAGAAGCTTCTTCCTCTTCTTGAAAGAACCTGGCTTCCATCGTCAGATGTCTTTCCCACTAAGCAGCTAAAGAGTTTTTCAAAGCTGCAGTTCACTACTCTTGTCTCGTCATCTGTCTGTGGGTTTGCTGCTAAACTGAACTGTGCAGGATGACTGTCGTGATCACGGATGATCCATAATCTTGTAGTTCCGCAATTTTGCAGGTTGATAAACAAACGCTCCATGTTATTCTCTTAGGCTAGGAGAAGCTTCTTCCTCTTCTTGAAAGGACCTGGCTTCCATCGTCAGATGTCTTTCCCACAGCTAAATAGTTTTTCAAAGCTGCAGCTCACTACTCTTGTCTCGTCATCAGTCTGTGGGTTTGCTGCTGAACTGAACTGAAGCTTTGTGCCTAAATTGCCTAACAAAGCCCTCCAAATAGGCCATGGAATTTCACATATTTGTCTGAAGTAATGTTTCTGGGTATACCATGAATATGAACTATCTTCTCGAAGTATAAGTCTGCATGATGTGATGTGTCCATTTTCTTGTGGCATGGAACAAAATATGCTATATGGAAAAAATGGTCTACTACAATAATGAAAAAATCATTGTCTTGCTGTGTCTGAGGCAACTCTACTGTAAAATCTACGTTCACACTCATTCCAGGCAACTCTGAAACACATTCATCTTTTCAAGGTCTGTCATGATAAAATAAATATCCGTCATTTTTTGGCATAGCCAGAGCTGTACATATGTTGAACTTTTCACGAACCAAGTCTGGAGCCTTTAAATATGTAATATGCTTCTCTAACTTTTCATGCTTGGCTAGGCGTATCCAATAAACTAGTATATCTAGAGGAAATAACTCTGGGATGATTGCGGCATGCTGGACCACTCTCAGTTCAACCACTTAAGAGATATATTGTTGGTCAGGATATCTATTAATTTTCTCAACATGGGCTGCCTTTTTTTGGTATCAGCTTATCAAAATCATTATCTTCTAGAATAACCAATGTTAATCTAATTGGAGTCCCTCTTATGGGCTCAACTTGAATTAGTAACTTCCTTCTTTGAAGTCTTCAATCTCTCTTGTGTCATTGTTCATTTCTTTCACTACTCTCTGCTCAGTGAAAGAAATCATACTCTTGTTTGGAAAATTTGATGCACTTTGCCCAAAATTGTACACTTGACACACTACTTGGTTGTGAAGGATTTGGAAGTGATGGTTGGCTTACACTTTTTCTCCATTTTGAACTATTTCTCCTCATGCATAGTCGACTTGGATGCTCCGTTGAGTGTACTCTTACTATTTGATCTTGGGGTTGAACTCTGCTTGTAAGGTGTGCCACTCACCCTATAATGTTTTGTTTCCATCTTTAAAATTAGGGTGTGAATATCCCCACGTTGCCAATGAATGATTTCATTCCTCCAAGATATCGAGTTAGGGTGTTCTCCTTGGGCTTTACTAGCCAACACTTCAACATAAGTTTTTGAAACTCAGCCGTGTACTCCTTTATCGAGAGATCTTTCTGTTGTAAGTTATGAAGCCTGAGTAATATGTTCGGTCTTTTTACTGTGCTGGCAGGTATTTGCATTGCATCTCTTGTTTCATTTTGGACTAGGTAGTAATTTTACTCTTCCCTTCTTGCTGTCGAAGTTCTTCGAGATTCTCCCACCACTAGGAATCTTTCTTCCTAAACTTGATGGTTGCTACTTTGACCCTGCAGTCATGTGGAACACCCTTATACTCAAAGATACATTCCATTGTCTGAAATCACTCTATAAACTCGTTCAGATTCATGTGGCCATCAAAATATTGCAAGTCAATTTTCACTTCAAAATTATAATTTCTCCTCTGATATTCCATGTTAAATCGTCAGTTTATTGGTGTTGTCATTGGAAACTCCCCGATGGAAGGGATTCACTCTCTCCTCGATTATATTAGTCACCATTGTGACTACGAGTGACTTCACTGGATTGCCTTCTCTTGAAGATGATAAACCTCTATTACAGTTGAAGGGTTTTTCGCTGCATATCCTCGATAGTAACCTTTTAGATACCACTTTGTGAATTTCTCCTTGGTAGTATTGTATCATTTTCTCTCGTTCAAGTTTTTGGCAGATGTAGGATTGCAAATCACAGGTTGGTCAGGGGCTGGAAGATGTTTAGTTTTGAAAATTGAGGGTTGGGGTTTGGAATTATGTTAGGAATGATTTAGGAAAAAAAATTGGTTGGGGTGCTAGGTTAGATTGCATGGAATCTTTATTTAGGTGTTGGAAGGACAAATCTCTAAAAAGGAATTTAGGGTTTGTTGGACTCTTACTAGATAATACCATTCTAGGGCTCCTAGAAGATGTTCAGGAAGCGAAGAGGGTTAGGGATGTTGTAGGATGGATAATGGGACTGGGAGAAAGGATGCTGATTGAAATTCAGCTTGAATGATGGTAGGACAGCGGTCTAGAACACTGGAAATAGCTGTTTCCTGCTGCTGGGCAGCCCTTTTCTGCTGTTGAACAGCAGTAGCAGCGAGGAAGGATGGTTGCTCGGCTGAAAACAGCGGATAGACAGTGTTTGCAAAGGTATCGGCGTTGAGGTCTACTGTCGGACAGCTGAATATAATATTTGGGCGGTCGGCGGCTGTTCGGTTGGAAAACAGAGGTTGAATTCCGAACGGCGAGACACGCAGAGAGGAGCTTTCTTTGCCTGTACCTGGGCAAGCTACAGTCATATCACTTGGTAAAGGAATATACTACAACACTTTAGAAAGCAGAAATCAGAGAAAACTTCTCCAAAATATATTAACTCGGAAATGGAAATCCAAAACAGTCTGATACAATAAATATATAAGTCTCCTAGTAGGAAATACTTTATTAGAAAATAGCAAAACAGGAAAGAAGAAAAAAGGAAAAATCATGTGGGGATCCTGGATTGTATCCTTTGCAGAATGCATGCCGCAATCATGCTTCAATCTGTGATTCTAAAGTTCATTAAACAGGCGCTCATCAACCTCTTTTTTCTTTTTAAAAATAAAAAAGAAAAGATTTCAATGACATTATTATCGATCTATTCATTTTATTGGCTTTCTTATCTTAGTTCTGCTCTTCTCCTTTCTTACTTTGCATGGTTAAAACATCACATATTTTACTTCATTTTATCACTTATGATGCAGTAATATTGACTTTTTTTATCTGTTTAATCTGAACTTCAATTTTTTCCAATAGAGTGCATAAATGAAGTGGCACATATTGTGTCTAAGAAGTTGTGTTATATGAAGAAACCATTAACATATATTTAGTATTTATTTAATGCAAATTCGTTGCTTTTTAGTTTCTGTATAATTTTTTTTTTAAGTTTTTGCTTTTGGCAGGGACAAAGATAATCTTCTGGGATTTAAGGGAGCCTTTTATTAGCAACTTATACAGACCTAGTGTGACGGAATCCAGGCTAGAGCTGCTCATGGAATCTTTTGATTTGGTAAATGATGCGATAGCTTTTTTTATATATTATGGAACTTGTGAAAATCTAAGAGTGGCTTTTATTTAAAAGTGATTTCTATTGTTTTTATCAGAGTTTCAAATTATATGTTTCCGTTTAAACAGCTGTATATGTCTTGATATCATAAAATGCCTCCAAAATAGAAGATGATATCAACTTAGTTCTTCTACATTTTATTTGTATTAACGTGTCACGATAACATCCCTAATTTCATACAATATTAAAAATATTTATCAAGTTATGCTATTTGTCCATAGGACCATTAGTTCTCAAACTGCTCGGCTAAGGTTAGCATGATTGCTGCACGCTAGTTTACTTGAACTTATTACTCTATATTAGTAATCTTTCCGTTTAAATATACCTTTTTGAGGCATATTCATCATTACCCTAAATTTTCATTTTTTTCTGATAAATGACTTTTTTAATTCGTATTTAGTATTGTCAACTTTTCACAAATCATTTTAAACCACTTCTGTGATCTATCTATGTAACCTTAGGTTTGCTCATCTTCTTCAATCATTTGGCATTGATTTTCTTAAATCATATAAGGGGCATTTTCTACTCTTCATTGTGCATCTCCAAATCACCAAGTCTATTCTTAAGTTATTTAAACTTGAATATACGTCATTCTTAGTTTTCTTGCACATCTATTTTAACACTTGCATTTTTATCATACTCAATCTAGATATCAATAATCTTTTTATTCACAACTCTTGCATTTATATAATATAGTTGGCTTAATTGTAGTTTTATAGATTATACCATTAAGTCTCGATGAAATGATCTTATCACATAAAACTCTTGAATATTTTTTTTCATTTTAAGTATAAATTATGTCATCATCTATATCCCTACTCTATTGTATTATAGATATAAGATACTTAAAATTATCATATCTTCTAATATTGGCCCACGAATATTAATATTATAACCACCAAAGTTTTGTATCATAAGAATTTGTTCATTTTTCATTTATTTTAATGTTAAAAAATACCACAAGACATAGTTTTGATGCCATAATTTGGATGTCATAGTTTTGATGTCCAACTAACTAGAACTATTATCATATGTAAAAAAAAATTACCACAAGACACCTCACTTTAATTATTCTTTGTAAACAACAACAATAAGCCTTTATGCCACCAAGTGGGGTCGATTAAATGAATCCTTTTCCTCTAATACAGTGCGTCGCTTCTAGGGAATGCCCAAGCATTGACACGATGCTTTAAAGGATTCATGCCATAGTTTTTTCGATAAACGACTGCCTAACACAAACTTTCACTTTTTGTATCCGGAAATTAGTTTTTTCGATAAACGACTGCCTAACACAAACTTCCACTTTTTGTATCCGGAAATTAGAACCCGGCATTGATAGTGTTATTCTTTATAAACAACTATATAACTAATATATAAAAAGGTTTAGAATTAAGTGTTGGTACTTGATTTAAACCTATGGTAATTTGAATTTCATTAGTTACTCTACAAGTAACATTGAGTATTAGTTATTGCTCCATAATACATGTCATAAATAATGGTGACACATCAACACATCTCTATCATGCATTTCTACATTAAGGCACACCAAACCAATTCTGGTGACGCATGATCATATATCTAATGTAAGATTGATAAATATTAATATTAAGATCCTTTCATTGTTACCTATACTTTTCTTTTGATTGTCTTGACAAAATATTGTTTTTATTGTAGATTTTTCTAGCATAAAACCAAATTTGCTCTATGAAATTGGTATAATTTTTATAAGCCTGTGTTTAATTATTATCTCATATAGCTTCCTTGTATAACTCATAAATTTGATTCATTTGTAATTAGCATAATCTTGAGTATCACCTTCATTCCTAAATATTGGTGTCAAAATCTCAGTTGGCATCTTCTTTGTCTTCAAAATTTTATTGATTTTTTTAAACCAATTAACTATAATATCCTTTATAGCTCTCTAAATCAATGGGTATCTCATCTTGGCTTAAAGCTTTGCTTATAAGCATCTTTTTCCAAGACTACCTTCACTTTTTATTTTTTTAAGTTCAATCTATAATGTACTTCATTATATTATTCGTTTTGTTCTTTCAGAATAATTTCTTGCTTAAAGCTCTCAATAATTAATTTGGCAAGTAACATTTTTATCGCTCTTTGATGTCTAAATCTTTAACCTTGTGTTCAATATTTATGAATCTTGGAACTCATAAGAATTTTTTGGTTGGTTTTTAATTGTGTTCTTAAAATTTGGCATGAATTATACTTTATTATTAAAGTTAACCTATTGGGCCAGGTACGTGGATATGATATGCAAAACATGTTTGAATAGGATGTTAAAGTCGTGAACCCTGAGCATTTTTTTGTTAACCAAAATGACAGTTTGCTTTATGATTTGAAGCACTTTCACATTGCACTTAATTCTTTTCAAACTTTTCTTTTTTGTTTTAAGAATTCAAGGTCCTTCCTTAAGATCACTAGATTATGTAAAAGTAGCTTGTACTAAGCTTGCTTTTTTAAACATTATAGACCACACACATTGCCATGGCCATTGGTAAAGTTAGATTGTCTAACACGATCACTGCCTTTATCAATTTGAAAAGATTGAATTCTGCTTCTAACATTTTGTTACAATGATATTATTAAGAATATGTTTGAAGGTGAGTTCCATGACTGGAACTCAAGTTGAAGCCAAGCCTAACGCAGAAGGTTGAAATCAGTCTTGATTCAGCTTCTTTAGTTGAGTCTTCATCAGAAAGTGGAGCTGTAGGAATCAAACTTCTAAGTGTGGTGATGGTGTAATGAGAGCAGCGAACAGATTGCACTATTGCCCCATTGCTCACGAATACTACTATTTATAGGATTTACGTAATGGATAACGTAAATCCAGCTAAACGTCTTTGCTATGATCGTTAAATCCAATTTTCTTGTTGTTTCGTTTATTCTGTCACTTAAATCCGGATTAAATCCTACTATTTGTTGGATTTAATGGATTTAACTTAGAAAAAAAATACTTCAAAGAGATTTATTACAAACACATCAAATGGATTTAACTGGATTTAATCTTAATTAAATCAAACATTATTTCAGATTTAATAATATTTGAATTTGATAAATCTGGATTTACCGGATTTACTAAATCCTATTTAACTTAAATTCTACTTGCAGCCAAAAACCCTCTTAGTAAATTTTGAGTTGAGCTCCTACTTCTACTGAGAGAGACTAATGAATCAAAAGCTTAGTTGAGCTGCATCTAAGCTATTATAGTTTTAGTCATTGATGTATGTTTTGACCTAGTTATTCCCAAGATCTTGGTAATAGGAATCTTCTGCCTTTTGTGACTTAGATAACTGAGGATTTACATCTTTAGACAACATCTCCGAACTTCTTTGAAATATGTAGGCATTTGAGATGATTGGTTGAAGTACTGGTTTGTTTGGTAAAATACAAATGAATGCCAAATTTGAATAAAGAACTACATTCCAAAGGGTTGGTTCATTTTTGTACGGATTATATTTGCTTTGCTTTTTCTTTTTGGGTTCAGCAAAGTTCAAAACATTGCTATTTTGCTTTCCATTTGCTTGCATATTTGATTTTTTTTTTTCCCTTGAAAAATGCCACTTTATATTCTTTCAAATAACTATCCAAAATGTATTGATTTTTACCATTTGTTGTGGCTGACGCAGGTTCTGAATGAGCTTTGTGATGTCATCGTGGATCCACTTAGAGATCGTGTTGTGACTGGGCTTCTTCAGGCATCCATAGTAAGTAAAATATCTAACACCTAAACTTTTCTTTTTATATTTCTAACCCCCAATACTTCATATCACATAAAGAATACCGCTATTTTAACTTTTAAAAAGTGAGATACATCTTTTCATGCATAGGTAAGGTGGCATATATATAAAATTTGAAGTTTAGGTGTAAGTTATTTAAATACATAAGTATTGAGCGCTATGCACATAAATCTTCCATTGATATATTAAAATACTTTGTTCTGTTAAGGATGGTTTGGTTAGAGTGCTACTCGATGGGGGTCCTTCTCGTATCTTTCTTGCTGCGGATGCCAAGTTTCTAGAGGACGATCTTCAAATATTGAAGGTATAGGCTTTCTGCATTGCAAGTAACTTTAAATATCGTGATAATGGCTGGACTCACACTAGTTGCTACTTTCGATGTGTCTGTTTGATGCCTCTCTAAATGTTTCATGTGCATTTTGGGTCCATCTGTATGAGCTTTTTTCCTCTGAAAATTGAATTTATACTTTTAAAATGGTGATGTTCATTTGTATTTGTATTTCTTGTGCGAGTAATTCTTTTCTTAGGAGGAGAATACTACCCAATTTTATTTTTATGACTATGATGTTCAAACCTTGTCAAAGATGTTCCTTCTGTTTACTACAGGAAATGTCTCATGCATAAAAAGTTCCGTTTCATGGCGAATCAGTGATATTATTGGAGGGAACCGCATAGGAAAATGACTTATATAAGCATGGGTACCTTGATTTTAATTTGCAGCTTTAAAAATTGGAACCATTAACTTGTTTTTGATAAATAAACAACCCTTGGAATAATTCTCGTCTACAAAAACCACCTGCCACTTCGAATAATGTTTGATACTCTGCTTTAAGCATAGGTACCTTGATTTTGATTTGCAGGTTTAAAAATTGGAACCATAAACTTGTTTTCAATAAATAAATAACCCTTGGAATGATTCTCATCTACAAAAATCACTTGCCAGTCATTATATGATACGATCCATCCTTTCGAATAATGTTTATTGCACTCTGTGTTTGACCAAGTGATGGCAGATGCTGCTGAAATCATGCTTATTGCTATTATTTAGCGTTTTGAAAATGATGGATTGTATTGATATTGTGCTCGAGAATTGTAGATTAGTAATCACAGTGACACGGGCATCGCGTTCTCGCCTGTGTGAGGGTGGCGTGGGCCACCTTATCCATTTGGGACCAATCTGTGAAACATAGAACCGATCCTTTAGGCTACCAATTACTTTTCTTCGCAATAATATTTGGTTTTATTTTAATTAATTTATTTATTTTTGCACTTATATTAGGGTTAACTTCTTGGAGAACTATATTTTTGTATGTTTTGGGCTGGTTTGGGAATTTTGTTTTGGTTTTGATTTATGTTGGACTGAGAATTCTTCTCAGGTCTCTCTTTTTGAAGTGTTGCTACCGTGTTTTTCTAGGTGGTTTGTATCTTGTTAGAGTGAAGGTGGTGGTCCTCCTCCCGACATTTTTGAGTTTCATTTCATAAGATAATGGTTTATTCCTATGTCTTTATGCCCTTACTCTACCTTGTGATCCAGGTTTTGTAGAAAAGTGCTATTACTCTTGTTAGTTTTTGTTATCACCATCCTTAAAATGGTCTTGTTGCAAATCCTTATAAAAAATTACATACATACCAAACAATTCTTATGTATTTACTTATGGAATACCTAAAGTTTAATATTCACATTTATATCACTTTGGTGTTATAAACCTCTGCATGAAAATGGTGTTTTGCAATTTAAAAAAGCTAGTGCTGGTTACCCCAAGGAAGTGTTGTAAAATTAAACAAGGGAACATAAAAATTTTTGAAAAAAAGTTAGATATGAAGATTGAATTGAATGGAAGAATTATAATAAGCATATTAACTGGATCTTTTCATGAAGTACAGGAGTTCTTCATATCGGGCGGAGATGGGTTACCTCGAGGAACTGTTGAAAATCTCGTCGCTCGTGTTCGTCCAATAATTAATTTGATAAGCTTGGAGGTATGTATGGATTCATTGTTGCATTCTTAAAAAATATGTAAGATTAAATCGGTTCACATGTCTTTATAAGATTAATGTGCATATTTTATTAAGATATGATTGTATTTAAAAACATTTAAAATATTTAAAAATTATATTGAGTGCATTTAAAAACATGTTAGATTTGTTTTTAGAATTACAAATAAGAATTATGTAAAATTAAAAATTAACTGCCTGGTTATTATGTGCTTGCCTGCATCTGATGGGAATCTTGCTTTCATACTGTTGATAGACACGTGTGCTGATTGAGGACCTTAGAGAAGTGAGTCAAGGAGGCAGAAGCAGATTCGGAGCTGATTCAAAGACTCTTCTGAGGGTTCTCTGCCACAGGAGCGACTCCGAGGCCTCTCATTTCCTCAAGAAGCAATTTAAAATTCCCAAATCGGCTGCTTAATGTTTTGCAAATCAGAGGAGCCTCAGAGACGAGTTTTTCCTCTATTGTTTCCTTTCTTAAGGAATTATTATTATTATTATTGCATTTAAATGCTTCCCTGCTTGAACTTTGGTTGCTCCTGGAAAAATGATTGTTTTAGCGCATTTATTTAGATCCGAGTTATGAGTAATTTACTATGTTTATCTACAAACAAGTTTGATAGATATAGTCATATTGTACCAAAATAGGGAAATTCTGCTTCTTTTTTTTTTCTTTTTATTCTGTTTGGGACAATTTGTGCATGATTTGCGTTTCAGATCATCATTACAGTTACATGTGGGGAGTGATTATTGTGAAAACGTGCAAAACAAACGGTGCAGCGGCGTTTTTAAAAACGCCGCCGCACTTATAAGCTGCCCCAAACAGACCCTACATGTGGGAATTGTTTTCTTGATGTTTTTTTAACAATTTTTGTGATTAGAAGTTATTTTTTTAAACCTGGTCTATTAAAATGATGATGGTAAGAAAGTTGCTATCTAATATTTTGATATATATATATAATTTTCACGATAGATTTTTAAAATAGTTTTTTCCATCACAAATATATAACTTTTTTTTTTTTTATGAAAAGTTACAGCCACTCAGAATCTTTATTATTATTATTATTATTATTTTGAAGGCATATGAAGTCATGGAATGTGTGCTATTCCACTGCTTTGCTATTTTATGTGTTTTGAGAAGCAAAGATATCAAAATGTATCCTTGTCTTTTAAAGAAATAAGTTAGAGAATAACAATGATCTTATTTTTTATGATTTTGATTAATGTATTTATTAGGTCTTCAAATTATATTTTAGCCCAACAGATTCTCAAACGAAAACACCACTATAACATTGATAGCAATTAGGATGTTTATTAATATGTTGCATTTTAAATATTTTAGGGTTATGTAATTCAATATAAAATAAACAAATAATTTTATTTTTTATTGTTTAGTTTTATGTAAAATAAAAATATTGTATTTAAAAAGTAATGTATCGGTTGATGGCTATGTTGCACAGTCACTTGTATATTGGGAGCCGTATGTACGTGAGTGCTCAAATTAAATAATATTGAAAAAGAGGATGTATGTTGGGAAAAATTATTCCATACCGAGTGTCCGATCTACATTATTGATTACTGTAAATATGTATTTTGGTGACTCCATTTTAACTTTAAAAAAAATGATTGACGGTGGAGATCGGCGATCGATGGTGTGAATCGGACACCAACTGCATCTCTACATGTGGTGTTCGTGGACACCACATGTAACTCTACATGCGGTGTCCGTATGGAATAATTTTTCGTATATTGGAGGTAGGTGGTTTATGTTATATATGTATGCACTAAGGCTCTATTGGGGTTGCTTTTTTCACGTGGTGCGGCCCATAACCGTGATAAATTACTGTTTGGCTCTTAGCTTCGCTGTCGAACGACGTCGAAGCGGGCAGCGGTATCTACCTTGCGGCCCCAGCTTTCGCCTCATTAATATTCGAAATTGCTCTTGCAAAAGAAGCGCCATAGTGTTCTGCCCCCGAGCCTTCTTCTTTCGTCATCCAGGAATCGATCCAGCCCTAGCGATCCTTCAAGTGTCGTCTCGCGCCTTCTTCGTTGCAATCCAGGAATCGAGCCAGCTCTAGCAATCGCGCTGTCTTGTCGTCTCTACAGGAAACACGCTTCTTCTTCGTCCCGAGCCTCCTGCTTCTTCGATCCCTCAATCGCGTTCCGCCCTTGTGTTCCGCCCTTAGCCTTCTTCTTCTTCGTCGACCCCGTTCCTTCTGCTTCGTCGCCGTTCCTGCGGCTTCGTCGACTCCGTGCCTCACAAGCTCCGTGAGTGGCTTCTCCGCATAACATTTTTTTTTTTCACTTTAATTGGAGAAACCAGAATTTTGAGCTATTGTTATGTGTAATTGGAGAAACCAGAATTTTGAGCTATTGTTATGCGATCCCTTTTTGCACTTTTGATACTATTTTGAAACTCCTTTTGAAACTCCTACATTTTGATACGATTTTGAACCTCCTACGTGTCTGAGAACTATTTAGATATCTCATTTTATTGAGGTTTTAAAGATCTATTATGAGCTATTGTTATACGATCCCTCTTTGCACTTTTAAGATTTTTTATTATGTTATGATGTATTGAATCTTACATTTTTTAATGATTTGTTGTTTGCGTAATATGTTTGGCTTCTTTTTGCGATATAGTAATCACCTTCTTCTTCGTCGCAATACCACCGAATTCTTTTTCTATGTTATTCACATACCACTGATTAAGTTTTTAAGAAATATATATATATATTTCTAAAAAACTTAATGTTTATTGATATAACACTTTATAATAGCTTAGATTTTGTTTGTTTTATTTATTGTATTCATTGTTGTTTGCTAATGTTTGTTTATGAGTCCATTACAATAGTAGCAACTAATTGATTATACTCTTGTGTTTCATGACTTTGTTTTGTTATATTAATAACATAGATAATAAGTCTAAGGAGGTTGCAACACCCGCATTGTGGGAAAAAGATACAAAAATATTATTTTGCGACCTTTGTCTTAAAAAGATTGAACGGGGAAATGAGTCTACGACCCATTTCAATAAAGAATGATGGCAAAATATTATTAAAAATTTCAAGGAATGTACAGGCAGAGAATACGACATGTTGCAAATGAAGAATAAGTGAGACCAAATGAAGAAGGAATGAAAAATTTGGAATGAATTGAAAAGGGGTTCTACAGGTCTTGGTTGGGATCCAATGAAGCGAATAGTTGATACACCTGAGGAATAGTGGGCTGAAAGACTTGCGGTGAGCTTTGTTTGTAAACTTCTTTATTTGGTAACTTTATATTTTATTATAATTGGGTGTTTATAAATTTCTATGTAGGTGGTGTCTGCTGCAAAAAAAGTTTAAGCTTTTTGGAATTGAGACTGAATTAGAGGAGAAACTGGGTCGCATGTTTGGGGGAGTGGTTGCAATGGGTAACTATGCATGTAGCCCAAGCAAGACAGGGTTTGCTGGATTTTATTGACGTCCCCAGCCCAGAACAGAACGAATATGAATCTATTTCCCGTTTCAAACGTCCCAGGGTTGCTGATAAAAAAAAATCTGGTGTTTCTTTTCTCAGAAAAGAGTTATCTGAGGCGATTTCTTGTTTCAAAGCAGAACATCAGGCTTCTCATTCAAGCACTATCGCAGAGGCACTTCAAATCCTAAGTGCTACAACCAAAATTTATGCAGACTAAGAGTTGTAACTGTTCGCAGCAGAATTACTAGAGGACCCGGTCTATAGGGATTTCTTTGTACAGATGTCTGCCGCCCGCAGAGTGACATATATTCGCCGTTTTTATGATCGTTTGAACAATTGAGATGATTTATATCTTTCATCACTAGAATATTTACATTACAGTATCTTTTTTTTTTTTCTAGAGTTGTGCTTATGAACTTTGTTATACCTTCCTAATTATTTGTAAACATTTCTTTTTTTTGTCTAAAACTCTCATATAAATGATAATTGTTTAGGGGAAACATTTAGGGATATTCATCACTATGGATGCAAGTAGAAGAACACGGATGGAGGCCCACATGGATACACGTAGCAGAAAGCGAAGAGGGAAGTTTCTGACGACAATATGTTTGATGTACGAGTACTATAACCAGTACATTGATCGGTCGTCATACATGACATCTTCTTATATTGGCGAAAAATGGGTGGGAGAGTTGCTTGTAGGGCACCCACCACGATTTTGTAACATGTTTCGAATGAGCCAAATAATATTTATCGATCTTCAGGAATTACTCGTAGGATCTCACGGTCTTCATGGATTTTTGAGGACCAATTCACGTGAGGTGCTTCGTGAGGTCTTGGCTTTGACTCTTTACATATTATCACACAATGAGTCGATACGTGGAGCGATGGAGCGATTTCAACACTCATCAGAAACGATAAGCAGATACTTCTCAACCGGATTGAGCGCAGTTGTTAGTCTGTTATATCATGTCATCAGACCCTTAGATTATAAGCTTGAGCAGATACCCGCTGAGATATCACATGATGCAAAATATATGTCTTTTTTCAAGGTATTCTCTCGGTTGCATTATAGTTAATTTTGTAAGGGTATGCAATGATATGTTAAACCTAACATTTACTCATCAGGACTACATTGATGCGATTGATGGAACACATGTTGACGCACGTATCCCAAATAGTGATAAGATGTCATTTATCGGTCGTTGTGGTAGCCCTACCCAAAATGTCATGGTCATCTGCGACTTTAACATGTGCTTCATTTTTGTTATGGCTGGTGTTGGGAGGGCAGCGTACGTGACAGTTGAGTTTTCAAATCTGCGACATGAAATCCCAGTAACAACTTTCCACATCCACCTACAGGTACGCTCGAGATTGAACTCATTGAATGAAAAACTTGAATCTCTATACTAATTGTTCAATTTATTAGACAAATATTACTTGGTCGATGCTGGTTACCCATTGCAGAAAGTGTAATTGAAGAAATTTGATCATGAGTTTTCTATTGTCTTGAATGATATATGGCTTGAAATGAGTCTATGTTGAATTTAGTTGCTTGCTTAGGTTTCATCATGATGGTTTCAATTTTTTTAAAAAAATTGAAATGACCTTTAGCTTTTATTTATAGAAATGCAAAGTTTCAATGCCTTCATTTTGGCAAATATCTGAAAGTTATGTGTTTTGGTTTGAGAAATTTGGAAATAATTGCAGTTTGTGAAAGTTTGGAAAGCCTCATTTTGAAAAATCTGAAATGTCTATTGCTTTGGTTTGTCAAAACCTGAAATTTGTTTATAATTGTTTGTGAAAATTCGAAAGTTTTGGTGTATTCGTTTGCGAAAACTTGCAAGTTTTAATGGCTTTTAATACTTGACAATTATAGTGGCATGGTCACGCTGATGTGCTCTAAGTTTTTAATGCTCGCGTAGAATTTTTTATCTGTAGCTGATGTGTTGTATCTTTGGCTTAAAACACATCATTAATGTCACCAAAATTATGTTTGCCAGTACTGTTGTGCTGTAACTTGGCTTAGAATCATGTTGTTGTTATGTTGGATCATATTGATATATTCTGTTTCAGGGGAAATTACATCCATATCACAGAATTCTTATTGATTTACAAATCTAGCATCTATATTTCTAAAGATTAAAGGCATTCAAACTCTTTGCACTGGACAATTATAGTGAGTACTACT